AGGAATTTATACCATTGAATGGGCCCCCATGATCGCCTGACCTAAATCCAATAGAACATCTCTGGGATATCCTGTTTCGGGTTGCACCTCAGACTGTCCAGGAGCTCAGTGATGCCCTTGTCCAGATCTGGGAGGAAATACCATAGAACACCATCTTTTGTCTCATTAAGATCATGCCCCAACATTGTCAGGCATGCATACAAGCACGTGGGGGCCATACAAACTACTAAATACCATTTTTTTATTTTTTATTTTTTTAGTTACTGCAATGAAATTTTGGAGTGTCTTTTTTTTTTTTTTTTTTTTTTTCTTTTTTTAAATTCAGTCCTCCAATAGGTTGATCATTTTAATTTCCATCAAATGATGGGACATCCACAGGTTCTTAACACATTACCCAGGCCATATCCGTAAAGATATGCAGTGTGCTATTTCTCCACATTGAGATCTGATGTGTTTTCAAAGTGTTACTTTAATTTTTTGTGCAGTGTAGTTAGTAATTTTAGCTTTTTTAAATGTACAGGTGTTTTGTGAAGCCCCATTCATGTCAATTTGAACACATCAGCTTCTCACAATTTGACAGCAGTACAGATGCATGGCCCTGATTGCACACTGTCTGCATTTTTGGGGCCAGGCACCTGCACGGTTGTCAGATTGGGAGCAGCCACTGAATGGGGCTGCTTGCATGGAGATGCACAAGAACACCTGCGCATCCCAGTGTGGCCTTCACAAGGGTGTACACTGTAGTCCCTGTGTGATCAAGGCTTTAAAGAGACCCTGTCACCAACTTAATTTTGTTTTTTGTGCAGCATTTTTCTCTTTTCAGAAAATTTAATTTTTAAAAATCTGCAATGTGCCTCTGAACGTGTTAGTAAATTTTTTACTTTTTCAATATAATCTGTTCCCTGGCATAATCCCCTTATTGCGTATCTTCGTCCTCTTCTGGAAGTGTCTAATTGCTGTCTGTGTCAGCTTGTCAACCCTTCCCTTTCCCTCACCTCCCTACATAAACTTATATGTACCTACGGAGGGAGGAGTGAAGAAGAATACTATAGAATGTTGCTGTCAGTTTTCTGAGGCTGCTGAAATCACATTCAAGATGGTGGTACAGCAGAAGTCTAGGGATCTGTTCATACAGTTCCCACAGCTGCTCCGGTGACCATTAGGAGTAATGTGTGAATAAAGGAGAACAAGAAAACCGAGCACTCATGGTGAAAGCCAGAATGGTGAGGCGATAACATACCCAACTGACAACCAATATGTCCAGTTTGCAAAAACCAATAGTTTAATAGTTCAATAAAACCAACAATAAAAAACCATATTCCAGGGGATCCAGTGTAGTAAAATGGCACTATGTGATTAACTGGCACAAATCACATACTGGTAGAGAGTAATGAGAGCGGCTTACTGCAATGATGACATGGCTGCGGAGGGTCCTGATGGTACACCTTAAAATGTTTTTTTGTGCTTTTTGACTAGGCATTAGTGCAGTTATATTCCCTTTTTTGCTGGTCTTGTGATGATGGGCTCACATGTTGTTACTTCAGTTTGCAAAGTCATGGCTGATAATTCACCCTGTTTTATCATTCGCCCTGTGTTATCATTCACCTAGCTTATCCCTATTAACTACAGGGGAAAGCAACTTCTTGGTCACAATCCATGTCTCCTCATTCCCTCTGTGTTTCATCGCTCTGCTCTACCTACTTGGTCTGTGTCAGATTTAATTACTGATTTTTGCCCTCACCTGGAGAGCACTAGACTAATGCTGGCCATACACATTTAGAATATCATTTGAAAAAAACGTTCCATACTCAGTTGGTGGGCCAAGTTTGATTATCAAAGTGCAACGTTTTATGGCAAAAAAAAAAAAAAAAAATATATATATATATATATATATATATATATATATATATACATATATCAACCCCCACTATGAGTGTTTTGGCCAGTTTGACATTGCTTTTGATATTCAGTCATCTTGCTTATTTACATTAAAGAGGCACTTGTATCAGACAAATATATAGTTATAATGAAATAACCACAAAGTCTTTTCAGGTCACCATAAAGTTTTATTCAACCCCCAAGGGACATTCGACACAATTACAGTTATAACAGCTTTTTGGCTCTGACACAATGCACACCACCACAATGGATTTGAAATGAACTGCTTTCAAACAAGATGTGTCTTTAACTGCAGCCTTTTCCTCTGGACTGTCAGCTTTAATTTGAGGATTTGATTCTGAATACAATTCCAAATGTACACTATAGTCCCTAAACCCCTTTACAGCATGGGGGTTGAATAATTTGGTCACCTGTATATATATATATATACAGTCAGGTCCATAAATATTGGGACATCGACACAATTCTATCATTTTTGGCTCTATACACCACCACAATGGATTTGAAATGAAACAAACAAGATGTGCTTTAACTGCAGACTGTCAGCTTTAATTTGATGGTATTTACATTCAAATCAGGTGAACAGTGTTTATCCAAATTACAACAGTTTGCATATGTGCCTGACCCCCACTTGTTAAGGGACCAAAAGTAATGGGACAGAATAATATTCATAAATCAAACTTTTATTTTTAATACTTGGTTACAGATCCTTTGCAGTCAATTACAGCCTGAAGTCTGGAATGCATAGACATCCCCAAATGCTAAGTTTCATCCCTTGTGATGCTCTGCCAGGCCTCTACTGCAACTGTCTTCAGTTCCTGCTTGTTCTTGGGGCATTTTCCCTTCAGTTTTGTCTTCAGCAAGTGAAATGCATGCTCAATCTGGATTCACGTCAGGTGATTGACTTGGCCATTGCATAACATTCCACTTCTTTCCCTTAAAAAACTCTTTAGTTGCTTTTGCAGTTTCCTTTGGGTCATTGTCCATCTGCACTGCGAAGCGGCATCCAATGAGTTCTGAAGCATTTGGCTGAATATGAGCAGATAATATTGTCCGAAACACTGACTTGGCCATTGCATAACATTCCACTTCTTTCAGAATTCATGCTGCTGCTTTTGTCAGCAGTCACATCATCAATAAATACAAGAGAACCAGTTCCACTGGCAGCCATACATGCCCACGCCATGACACTACCACCACCATGCTTCACTGATGAGGTGGTATGCTTAGGATCATGAGCAGTTCCTTTCCTTCTCCATACTCTACTCTTCCCATCACTCTGGTACAAGTTGATCTTGGTCTCATCTGTCCATAGGATGTTGTTCCAGAACTGTGAAGGCTTTTTTAGATGTTGTTTGGCAAACTCTAATCTGGCCTTCCTGTTTTTGAGGCTCACCAATGGTTTACATCTTGTGGTGAACCCTCTGTATTCACTCTGGTGAAGTCTTCTCTTGATTGTTGACTTTGACACACATGCACCTACCTCCTGGAGAGTGTTCTTGATCTGGCCAACTGTTGTGAAGGGTGTTTTCTTCACCAGGGAAAGAATTCTTCGGTCATCCACCACAGTTGTTTTCCGTGGTCTTCCGGGTCTTTTGGTGTTGCTGAGCTCAACGGTGCGTTCCTTCTTTTTAAGAATGTTCCAAACAGTTGTTTTGGCCACGCCTAATGTTTTTGCTATCTCTCTGATGGGTTTGTTTTGTTTTTCAGCCTAATGATGGCTTGTTTCACTGATAGTGACAGCTCTTTGGATCTCATCTTGAGAGTTGACAGCAACAGATTCCAAATGCAAACAGCACACTTGAAATGAACTCTGGACCTTTTATCTGCTCATTGTAATTGGGATAATGAGGGAATAACACATGCCTGGCCATGGAACAGCTGAGAAGCCAATTGTCTCATTACTTTTGGTCCCTTAACAAGTGGGAGGCACATATGCAAACTGTTGTAATTCCTACACCGTTCACCTGATTTGGATGTAAACACCCTCAAATTAAAGCTGCCAATCTGCAGTTAAAGCATATCTTGTTTGTTTCATTTCAAATCCATTGTGGTGGTGTATAGAGCCAAAAATGTTAGAATTCTGTTGATGTCCCAATATTTATGGACCTGACTGTATATAGTTGGCAAGTGGGAGGGTTCACAAAGGTAAAAAAAAAATCTTTACATTTCCACCAATCGAGAAAAAATGCACCATTTATGATGGTAATATGTCAACAATTGGGGGAGATATTTTGACTCAATGATGGCGGTATCGCATGCTTTTTTATAGATCTGTGGTACCGGCAGGATCCCCAGATAAAAAATAAAGGGGTGGGGTGGGGGTGACTGAAAAAAAGAGCTAATGCAGATCCACAGTCAAGTACTGGCAAACTGCAGTGGGTAAAATGTGTGTTCTTCGGTTTGGATTCACCTCAACAAATGCTGTAATAGGATATCAATCCCATAGGGATTGTGACTGGAGCTCATACAATGGACTGTATTGTGAGAAGGTACAGTGAAGGATTGTCATTGCTTGGCACCAAGTTTGCACTTATGGGGTAATATGGTTACCACTATAATACATAAATCGTTTAATCATTATTTAACATAAAAAAAAACTATATAGCTATAGATATACGTCTGGAGGAAAATAAATCTAATCTCCAAATACGGAAAGGTTTCTTCACAGTAAGAGCTGTGAAAATGTGGAATAGACTCCCTCAAGAGTTTGGTTCTGGCCGGCTCAGTGGATTGCTTTAAAAAAGGCCTGAATTAATTCCTAGATACACAGAATATAACTGGTTATCAACATTTTTTAAAGTTGATCCTGGGAATATCCGATTGCCTCTCGGGGGATCAAGAAGGAATTTTTTTTCCCCTGCAGGAGCAAATTGATTCACGCTTTGCTGGGTTTTTTTTGCCTTCCTCTGAATCAACTGTGGGTGTAGGATTATAACTTTTTTTTTTTTTTTTTCCGCTAGACTATGTATGTATTGTTTTTGTATGGATTTATTCGTGTATATATCATATACTGAAAGGTTTGACCTCCATTGATATAGATATATATGGCTGTAGATATGTGTACTAAATTAAATAAAATTATTTTCTTTGTTTTGTAGGTCATCTTTGATTTTGGACATAGTCTCCATGTAGAGGTAAGTAATTTTGTCATCTGTCAGAAGAGCTAGTCTAAGCTGATTCACGGGCTGTGGGATGATTAGCATCTAACATCCTCCCTCCTATTTTAAAATGTTTGCTTCAGTCTCTCAATTGTGTTTCCAGTGCTATACTAACTTGGCAGCGGTGCAGTACATAGATCCACTCTAGAAGTTCAGTTCTTGTTCAATTATGTGGACAAGAAGCTATGTCTGGGCTTCTCTTTAGCCCCTTTCTGTTGCATTATAGCCTTTTGTAGCACCAGCTGTAATTGTTAGGGCTCATTCACACAGGGCCCTATGCAGGTCTGTGTTTTCCCGACATGGGGATGCACAGGTGTTGTGTGCATCCCTGTGTTGGCATCCCATTAATTTCTATTGTTACATGCAGCTGAATGGACACATCCCCTCCTAATATGACATGCAGGTGGGTATGGGTCCTCAAATGCATACAGGGTGTGTTCGATGGACATACAAAAAAGAAGGGTTTGTGAAAAGGAATTCACAGAAAGCGGCTACATTATGAACAAAATGTGATATTATGCTTTATTACATATAAATATTTGACATATGGGCAATCGCCCTGGTTTACCATCACCTCAGTATGAGACCATACACACAGACCTAAAACCATATAAAATAACACCAAGACCGGTCTGGATAGATGTGCTGCAAAGAACGTCATACGTCAGATACGTCACTTCCGGTCATGCGCACTAGGTGGAGCGCACGCTGAACTACAAGGAGGTAGCCATCTTCACATGCCATGAGGCATACTTAGGCGGCACAGGCGCCATGGAGAGGTCGGAACCCGCGGTATGTCGGCTGATGTTAGCAGTGGTTCCTTGGTTCCATACAGCAGTACCTTTTGAAGGGCAGTACTTATGAAGGATATCCTTTTCGTTCTTACTACCCATTGCACAGGTGGTGAGTGGACTGTTACAGGACATTAGATTAAAGGTCCCTTGTGACCTATATGGCATAAACGTCTATTATCGAGTGAAAGCTCTTACAGTGACTTCCCTCATATTGTTTGTCTTACTACAGGATGGGGACATTATGGTGCTTTATATAGGAAACAAGGCATGCCACATATATTTCAACGGGCGGAGGAGCCGCTGGGCCTTATCTTGTTTTCAACAAAAAGTGGTGTGTAGTCCACATGCTGTGGTGAAGAAATCACTTGAAGCAGTGTTCTGCTACTTGCATCTGTTTCTCCATCCAGGCAACAACTGGGGCGTTATTTATATCTAAAAGTCCTAAGAATCAGTCACTTATATCACAGATGAATGGGCCCCAACCACATGTGCCGGCATGGGACTGTACTGCATTTCATTTGTGATATCCTTTTTGCTGCCTAACATAGGCTTATGGTTATGCCTCTCTTTTGACGCATACTGTGCTCGCTGCATTGTATACATGTGATATTTCATACCTTTGGTATAATTTTTGGGAATTCCCCTCTATGGGATAGAACCTATATGGTTTTGACACATGTCTTTATATTTATTACATGTGACACTATATACCTATGGTATAATTTTTGTGTACACCTCCTTTGGGAAGTGTTAACCTATGTGCCAGTGCTACAAAGACTTTAGACTTCAGTGGTCATTGTCTTTGCAGCACATCTATCCAGACCGGTCTTGGTGCTATTTTATATGGTTTTAGGTCTGTGTGTATTGTCTCATACTGAGGTGATGGTAAACCAGGGCGATTGCCCATATGTCAAATATTTATATGTAATAAAGCATAATTTTTGGAAATTTTTCTGAGTATCACATTCTGTTCATAATGTAGCCGCTTTCTGTGAATTCCTTTTCACAAACCCTTCTTTTTTGTATGCCTCTTTGGGCTACTGAATGGAAGCCATATATTGGGTGATACAGTAATTTATTTTGTAACCTCCAAAAAAAACTATCTTTAGTCAATGTGTTCGATGGACCCATACTCACCCACATGTTTTATAAATGGGACGCTGGCACACACAAACCTGCATGGGGCCTGCAGTAAAGTGCTCCATGTGAGCAGACCCTTAAATGCATTTTGACTAAATATATTGGTTACACTGGACAACTAAGCCTTTTGCTTCCTGAGCATTTTTGGGTGTATCTCTTTATAGATTTTTGGCTGCTAATCATGAAAATAAACTGTAATTTATATTCCAATAGTTTTTATTGAACATTTTTTTCAAATAACAGGTACTACTAATGAACAATTTCCTGTCAAAAATATAGAGTATAACACAACCAAACAGCAAAGTTTATCAGACATAAAACATTTAACAGGAGATTAAGAACTCTGTAGAGTAGCTATTGGACCATCTAGACCAAGGTACACAACCCTTATCTGCCATATATAGGGGACTGGCACAGTGGTAGGGAAGGGAGTCAGGACAGGGGAAGTTAGGAACCACTGTTCATGGACCTGAAATTACACACAGAGTAATTGTTGTTTAAGGCAGGACAAATATTGTAGAACATATAAAGATTGAGCATAATCCACTCTAATAGACAAGGAGAAGATTATGGAGAATGGAAAAGGAGAGGGTCAAGTTGGGGGACATTAAGGCACAGAAATTTATTGAATCCATAGGTCCCAAGTTTTGTCAAATTTTCTAGTATTATTGTGTAGTGTACTGGTGAGTTTGTCATTAATCATAATCCAATTCAATTAATTCTTAACATAAGCAGGATAACTGATTGCTTCCAATGTCTAGCTATGGTAATTCTCACTGCCAACGACATATAGGTGATCAATTTCTGGGACTTTCTGGGAACATTAATCGGGAATTTATGAAAGAGGGCTGTCTCCGGGGATCTGCAAATATTTACCGCAGTCACTGAATTGATGAAATTAAACATGCAAATCCAAAATCTGGTTGCTATCGGACATTGCCACCAGATGTGAAACATAGAACCTACTTGGCTGCAACACTGGAAACATATCACTGAAGCAGATGGATGTATTCTCGCAGTCCGAGTAGGGACCAAGTACCATCTTAACAACATTTTATAATTCTGCTTCAATTAGGGCAGTATTGATGGAAAAATTAGATTGTGCCAGGGTAATATCTTGCCAATTGACATTCAGGTCCCGTTCCCAATGCTCCATATAGGAGAGCTTACAGGTCAGTGAGGAGAGGATACACTGTGGAGACACTGCCTCTAGGGAAATCCCTATTCTGACAGGAGAGCTCAATGTTAGTAAGTAAGGGCGGTTCATCCAATAAAGTAAGCTTTGAGCGGATAAATTAGACAATCTGATTTATATCTGAAGATTTCGATCGCATTTGCAACTCCTCTATAAAATACTGTAAAGAGTGTATTCAATTACCCTTAAGGTAGTCTCCTATCTGCAACAATCCTTTATTGATCCACCATTGAAAAGGGGCAAGTAGGGTGTATGTGGAGATGCTAATGATTTGTGATGGCGTACTCTGTCCCAGACTGTCAAAGAATGCATCAAAGTAGCGCATTGTATAGGAGGGCGCAATCTATTAGGAAGCCAAAGTAATGAGCCGACTGCTAGGGGGTGGCAGGAAAGTGCTTCGATAGAAACCCACACAGGAGAAGGTCCCTTAGCAGTGGTATAGGCCAGCTGAGCAATTTGAGCAGCTTGGAAATACGCATGAAGATTAGGAAGGCCAATCCCACCTCGCTGGTTTGAGGCATATAATGTCTTTTGGTCCTTCCGAGGTCTTCTATTGTTCCAAACAAAGTAGAGAACCTCAGCTTGTAGATGCTGCAGCTCCCATCTCGGAATTGGTATCGGCAAGGTTCTAAAATAATATAGCAGTCGGGGCAAAAATTTTAATTTTAATCAAGTTGATTCTGCTAAGTCAAGACAAGGAGTAGTCAGCCCAATGGAGAAGATCATCTTTACGTTTTTTAAAAAGGGGAGGATAATTAGCTTGATAAAGGGTCTCAACTGAAGCAGTTAAATGGATTCCTAAATAGGGTAAAGAGTTACTTGCCCCTTGAAAGTCATAAGTATTTCTGAGCTGCCGTTCTACAGAAACGGGTAAGCAAATGTTAAGGCCTGTCGTTTTTTTGGGAGTTTAGGGACAGCCCAGAAAGAGCAGAGAACTGGCGCAACAGATACAGTAAGTTAGGTACGGTGATCAAAGGGGAGGTAAAATACATAAGGAGATTGTCAGCTAATAGGGCTCATTTATTTTCCTGTTGTCCACAATGGATACTATGGATTTGAGGATGGAATGGATTGCCATAGCTAAGGGTTCAATCGCCAGAGCAAAGAGCAATGGGAAACGTGGACAACCATGTCTAGAGCCACATCAAATTGGGAACACGGGATCTATAACCTCTAATGGAAACTTGAGCCGAGGGAGTATCATATAACGAATGCAATAAAGCAAGAAACTAGCACTTTCTATAATATATACTTTTTTTTTTTTTTTTACATTCACATCAGTTTCTGCCCTCAAGGAGCTTACAATCTAAGGTGCCTAACTCATTCATACATATACTAGGGACAGTTATCTTACCAGCATGTCTTTGGAGTGTGGGAGGAAACAAGGGTACCTGGAGGAAACCCACGCAAGTACATGGAGAATATGCAAACTCCAGGCAGGTGATGCCATGGTTGGGATTTGAACCGGCAACTCTAGTTCTGCTAGATGGAAGTGCTTACAGCTTAGCCACTGTGCTGTGCTGCTTAGTCTATGTACATGTAACTTTCATAACAAGCGAGTTATACTTGCTATAGAATGATGGTGACAGCAGAATGCCAACGTCACAACAGCCGTGATAAGTTCTTCTACTTTTGTGGCAAGTACACACTTAAGCTTCAAAGATGCACCATGATTTGACATTAAGAAAATGTATGACCTATACTGTGCATTGTAAGATTTGTGATCAGGATGAGGCCTGGGCTCCGCACATTCGTTGTGCAAGATGTGCTGTCGATTTTAGAGTTGAAAGTCGGTGCCATATGCTGTCCTTCACCTATAATGTGAATAGAATGATCTGAGTAATGCC